CTACCGTACTCTCTTTGTTCTTCCTCATTGAGTAGCCCACATAGTTTTGAGAAGTGTCCACTATAAAACTGTAACAAATCACACCCTTTGGCAAGTTCTCTTCAACAAAGACTCGTTTTTGTATCATACTTCTGATTTCTAGACCCTAGTTTTGATCACTTCTTTATAGTAATCAAAGAAAACTCTTTTAAAGAGTATCTAATAAGAAGTTCTCCTATTATAAACCACATTTTAACACCTCCTTCCATATCAGCCTCCCAAATCATTAACTGCCATATAACATGACTATAAGGGAAAAAAGCTGGACATCAAGGAAAGCACTAAAGGAGGAATTTCTATTACAATCTTTTGGACTTCAATATGATCACATAATCCTTCTTCCATCATATTTCTGAAGTTTGGCAGTGAAGACTTCACACTCATATTCATATTTGGGAATTTCTGAAATGTTGGCGCTCGTCTTGATTGCAGGAACTTATATAAGCGCATAATCCTTCTTCCATCGCATTTTTGAAGTTTGGCAGTGAAGACTTCACACTCATATTCATATTTGGGAATTTCTGAAATGTTGACGCTCGTCTTGATCGCAGGAACTTATATAAGCGCATAAAATGAGAAAAAATTTCATACGAAGTAAATGTGACCTCTCAAGCATTGCTACCAGGGTCGATGAATCAGCTAGATCGATCTCGCATGTAAATCAACCCGACCCATCGTTCATGACCCTAAACCAGTTATATTTTAGGAAAAATTATTTTAAATAATCCCAACTTTTCATGTTTTTTCACAAAATAATACGGAGTACTACTTTTCACTGTCACTGAAAAATCTTATCTTTTTGCATGTGTGCGACTTTTGTATCACCATTAAGAAGTTAACGGTTACTTAACGAAATTTTTGAAAAAAGCTTTTTTTTCACAAATAAATGAAAGATGAGATTATTTTAGGTAAATTTACTTTTTTCTTTTTTTAATTGTAAATTTAAAAGCTATATTTAACAGTACACTCTTGTTTGAGATTTGTCTCAACTCTTTTCAAATATAATGATTTGAAATTTTATATTCTGTTCTAGGGAAACATAATATTGGATTATCGAAAAATAATTCAGAGTGTCGCTCTAGAAAGAAATTGTAATACAAAAAAGTTGTAGTGAGTTATAAAAATAATTATTGCCATGTAGTGAGAAAGAAATTGTTGTCCAAAAAAGTTGTAATAAAAGTTGTAGAAAAAATAGTGTCATTTTCACAACTTTTGAGTTGTTATTTTGGGGAAAAAATTTGTTCTGAATTATGAAAAAATCAAAAGTTTGTAGTGTCATTTTAGAAAAATAATATGGGTAATAAATGATTTTCGAAAAACATTTAGGACTGTTGTTCATGAAAAAATTGTATTACAACAAAATATGTAGTGAATTATAAAAATAAAAATTCCATTTCACAAAAAAATATTGTGTTATTTTCACAACTATCATAATGTTATTTTGCAAAAAATATTTATACAGAACTATCGAAAAATATTCACAAGTCTTACAGTGCCATTTTTAAAAAATCAATAGTATATATAGTATCAAAAAACAATTTGAAGTGTCGCTTCAGAAAAAAATTGAAAATGACATAAAAATGTAGTGAGTTATGGAATAAATAAATTAGTTTCAATGTGTAGAATATTTATTGTGAAATTTCACAACTTTTGAAATATTATTTTGGAAAAAAATAATTAGTGTAGAATATTTATTGGAAAAATAATAATTAGTTTCAATGTGTAGAATATTTATTGTGAAATTTCTCAACTTTTGAAAAAAATAATTAGTGTCACTCTAAAAACACTTAAATTTGGTATTATTTTTATTTTTTAAAAAAATACATTTAAATTTCAAGCTTGAAATTAAGAAAAGAAAAAAGAGAATATACCTAAAATAATTCCATCTTTCATTTATTTGCGAAAAACAAACATTTTCTAAAAATTTTGTTAAGTAACCATTAGCATCCTAACGGTGATTCAAAACTCGCACACATGAGAAAAGTTGGAATATTTTCCGTGACGATGAAGAAAGGGATTATTTTTGGAAAAGTGCCAAAAGATGGAATTATTTGAGATAATATTTCCTATATTTTAAGAATGAATTTACATTATTTATTACTCGTATCAAATTTCTGAGCTGGACACTGCCTTTAGTGGCATTTTGGATTCCAATATGGTGTAGTCATTTTTTTTGCATGAAACCCATTACTTTCGTTGTTTGAGTACATCACATATGCATTCTCCATCCTCATTATATGGATTCAAAGGTTTTTGAGAATGACAATTTTGAGTGGTTTGAGTTACGATCAACTTGTACAAGATCAGAGTCGAAGAAGTGGAAGAGCCCAGAAAGATTAAAGCCACACATTGTTGGGATTTTAAGCGCGTAAGATATCGAAAAATATTGAGAACACCAGAAAAATGAGAGAACAAACACAAGAAAAATATATGAGAGAAAAAAATTATATTTCTATTTTTTCAGGACAATATACAAAAAACTCTCTTGTTTACAAGACTAAATTTCAGACACTCATAAATAGATCTTTCCACATCCTATGCCCGGATGTATTTTTCCAAGTAACTAAAACAAGTTACTTCCTACACTCAGCCACACTCACCAAGACCCCTTGGATTTTCCCGGTGGTATTCTTGTGTAAGATTCCTCTTTTTCTCTCTCTACCTTGGTGGTGTGTAAAACCCACACACACAAGCTATTCTAAAAAAAACCCAAGTTATATACATACCGAGTGAATCCATCCAAGAGGAAGATGGTAAATGGGCCCTTAACATCACATGTATACAACCTCTCACATGCATGCATGATGGGTGCATCCACTTCACCATCCATATCTTCTTCTTTTATCTTTTTTGTCCTCTTCCTTATTTTTCTTTCTTTTCTTTTGATTATTAATCAATTTCCCAACACACAGTTCGCACGATGGAAGACATGTTTTTGGAGAGTTTTGTGTAGTCTTATACTCTTATTAGACATTGTTTCACCCCTAGCTTTATATTTAAACTAGTATTTCTACCCGTGCCATGCACGAGTTTAGACGAATTTTTTTCGATTCTACAATGTGGATCTTGATTTTTATTTGGCATATTATTTAAAGGTCAAATATAAATGATCTATGTTTGATATATTTCTACAAATCTATAATTTTTCTCCCTGTATAAATTCAAAATATATTAATGCAAAAAGTATTAGTGATCCAATGATTCTTTTTGCTCACATTAATTTTAAAAACCTAAATTACAGACCTTATAATTATATACTCCTTTTGTCCCTGAGTATTTGTAAACTTTTGACTTTTTTTTGGTAAAAAATGGTAAATTTTGATATCAAATTAAATATAAATGATATTAGATATTTATACAAAATTAGTTTTATTTGATTTATTATATCATTCATTTTCAAAATATTATTTTATCTACTTTATATATATATATATATATATATATATAATTTAATTATAAGTGAAATGTTGAAAACAGTTAATCAGAAAAAGTGAAAACTGGACAAATATTCAGGGACGGTCGTAGTAATTATAAAATAGGATTCTTCTCATCCATAATCCTAACTACCCCCCATGCGCGCAATGATTATAAAAAATATTATTCTTTCTTGCATTATTAAAAAACAAAATCTTAATTTAGTGATCCTAAATCTCTATAATTAAAAATTTTAATTTTAAAGTATTAAGAATCAATTATTCTTCTCCCCCACATTGGTTTTAAAAAAACATTAAAATGTTAGTGCTCCAATGATTTTATCGGGATAGTATTTTGGTCAAGGTATAAGATGTTTTATCAAAATATAAATAGTTACAAATTGGAAATTGTACTTTCTTTGATGTGGTTATAACTTGTAACTGTGTCTTGAACTTATTAGCTATTACATATTGGAATTTCTGCACAAATTTTCTTACTTTTTTTATTATCCTAAATCTTCATTTTCAAAAATCTTCCCACGCTCCCCTCCACACCTTGATCTTCCTTGTCATAATCTTCTTTGCATAAATCCATGTCATCTCATAAAATATTATCCTATGAAGTTTCTATGTACGATTACGTAAATGAAAACGTAGGAAGTAAGTCCTCTCTCATTCAAAATTTCTTAATTTTATGTATAAACATTTTGAATTGTAACACAATAAAAATAAGTATTGAGTAAATCGTAAGTTACAATATGAGAGTATTTTGATTAAAATAGTAAACAAAGTTACCAAGATAAAGTATAAAAGTTTTATTAAATCTTTTTTCTAACTTGTTTATTTTAAATATTCAATATTTTAAAAATAGTCAAATTATATGGAAATACTTATATTTCATATCATAATTAGTCATCTTACTATAAACAAAAGTTCTAGGTAAGATATGCATTGAGTCAATCTCGTAGTATACGTATTATCCATTTGTCTAAAAATAAAATACATAATCATGACACGTATAATACTCAAATATAGTCATAAGTCTTTTAGTCACCTAATTATAAATTATAAATTTCTTTGAGTAATCTCAAAATAGTCTTTTCAAATAATGTATTTTCCAAAATCAGTGTTATTAAACATTAATTATCTATGGAGTACTTTATAGTTGAGATTTTTTACTTAGTGTCCTTCGTATATGTTTGTTAAATGGATGTTTAGTGGAGGAAATTTAGGTTTTTCAACATTTAAATGTAGAGTAATTTTTTCATAATTTTATCTCAATTGTGCATTTAGGGTCACCTTAATGTTTTGTGTCCCTCTATTAGCCACTTATGTTCACGCTAGTAAATTTCGAATGGCGATGACCTCGCCTCTGATCCCCCACTTCATATCTTTGTAGAATTTTGATAAAATTTACGTATGAAAAATATGTTATTTGTTTCTTTGCAAATATTATTTTATTGTATATATATCATGCAGATATTTTTTTGTGTTTTTTAAAAAGTAATAATTGTGACTTCAACAACAACAACAACAACCCAGTTAAATCCCACAAGAGTAGGGTCTGGGGAGGGTGTGTGTACGCAGACCTTGCCCCTACTCGAAAGTAGAGAGGCTGTTTCCAAAGAGACCCCCAGCTCAACGTCGAAAGTTGCATTGCTTGACTAACTGCTACTTCATTAATTAAAGAAGCGCAGACAGTTTAGAGATCCATTTTGATTTATTCCATCACACCCCAAAGCCAAAAAATGATGAAATTTTGGCTTCATCGGAGATGATGGGAATATAATTGTGACTTCAATAAAGTCAAAAGTCTAATATATACGATTTTTTAAAATGCTTTTGTAATTTTTCTTTGTAAAAACCCTTGCAACTATATTTGTTTTGCTGTTTAAAAATAAATTCATATTATTTTAATATTGTTTATTTTTTAAATAATTTTCTCAATAAAATGGATCTTATCTAATTCGAATGAGTATAAACTAATTTGAACTTATCTAACTATGATAAAAATGAATAATAGGTAGAAAAGAAATAAATTGAAGAAAAGGGCACCTTAATTCTTGAAGAGAAATGCTAGGGGTATTCCATTTTGTACACCATGCATCCTAGCCCTTCATTTATTTTTTTAATTTTTAATTTTTTTTCTCTCATTGCAAGGCAAATGAGATGGAGGTGTACGAATGGAGATGGAGGTGTACGAATGGGTACCCAAATGGTTTGATTCTTGAATTGCTCCCATTGCAAGGCACAGTTAATGGCAGGTGACAGCAAGCGAAAACGACGCCGGAAGCCGGAATTCGGATCCCCTGATGACACGGCGACCCCCAGCTCCACTGCAGCTAGTTCCGGCGCATCAGCGTTGCCAACTATCGACGATATCGTCTTTTCCGTCAGCAACGTCGAGCTAATCAACCCTACCACCAACCTTTCCTCCCTTTCCCACCATCGCCGCTGCGGGCGGTCACTTGAAGTTCACAGACATCCCGAGAAGCAGTACGAACTTGAAAAACCCGAAACCCTAAAATTCACATCCCCGCCGAGAGGGGTTGTTGAGAAGGCTAATGGATCAGCTTCTCTGACTGCATGCGATGCCGATGTCTCAAATGTGGCTGTAGCTCGGGTTCTACCATCGATGGACGCCGTAGTGAAGGTGTTTTGCACCCATACCGAACCTAATTTTTCTCTGCCATGGCAGCGGAAACGGCAGTTTAGTTCGAGTAGTAGTGGGTTTGTCATTAAAGGGAGGAGAGTTTTAACTAATGCTCACTCTGTGGAGCATCATACTCAGATCAAATTGAAAAAGAGAGGATCGGATACCAAGTATCTTGCCAAGGTGCTTGCCATTGGAACTGAATGTGATATCGGTGAGAATTTTACTGATTTTTCCCCTCATTGTGATGATGATTATTTCAGTCTAGTCACTCTGAATATTTACCAATTTAATTACAGCACGATGTGCATAATAGTTGCAGATTATTTATTATAATAGTGTACTAGTGTTGTTTCAATACAAAAGTATACATGATTTTTATTATCAACCTACTTTTGATCAGTGCTGTATTATGATGATTGCTCTTATTTTTTCACCATCATTAGTCATGGTTAATTTGATCCCGCAGCTTTGCTTACGGTCAATGATGATGAGTTTTGGAGTGGGGTATCTCCTGTCGAATTTGGCATTTTGCCTACACTTCAAGATGCTGTGACTGTAGTAGGTTATCCAATTGGTGGAGACACCATTTCTGTAACGCGTGGGGTTGTTTCACGTATAGAGATATTGCCATACGTTCACGGATCAACCAAACTTATGGGACTGCAGGTATTCAATATTTCAATCTACATCATGTGTAGCTCATTGGATACAATCAGTGCACAGTGAATATGAACTAATCACAGCTCTGACTGTTTGGATCACACTTTTGTAGATAGATGCTGCTATAAATTCTGGAAATTCTGGGGGCCCTGCTTTTGATGACCATGGAGATTGTGTAGGCATTGCGTTTCAATCCCTAAAACACGAAGATGCAGAAAATATTGGTTATGTTATACCAACACCAGTTGTCAGTCACTTTATCCAAGACTATGAAAGAAATGGAAGATATACTGGTGAGTTTTGCTCCATTTCAGAATGATTGACAATAATATTTTAATCTTTAAGTATTTTTAAATAGATTTTTTTGTTAAGCATGAAAAGTACAAACAAGAGAGGGCAGGACCATACTGAAACCCCTCCAGCAAATAAAAATAAAAAAACAAGTGAAAAGAAAATACAAGTGCCGAGACTATTACCAAATTATGAAGCCCATATGGACATCATCAACTTAATTGCAGCGTATTTCGGGCATCACTTTTGTTGGCCATTTAACGCCTGCCCCAATAGGGCCTACTCGGCCAACGTAGTAAAATGGCGTCGTGTAGTTCGCGATAGTGATTATCTGTTCTATTGTCGTTTCTTTCTTTGATGGCCAGTACTTCGGATTGAAACTCACTGTGCTCACCTCAAGCTCTGGATCATAACACTTCCTCCTAATCGGCCCTTTTTTGCTTTTATTAATGCTGTCTTGTGCTGAGGAAGCTCTCCAAAGTCCTTTTAGTTTTTCGCACATCTTACCGGCAGCCTTACTGTTCGCAGCATTATTAGCAACTACTTCTGTCAGGATGTCTTCACTGACTTCTACAACTTCATCAAAGAGAGCGCACAACATATTTGCATCTTTTACATGGCGGGGTGCATCAACTTAATTAAAAAACAGTACTATATGGATTGTTTACAAGAGAATTTACTAACTGCCTTCCCTGCATATCTTCCACCCATCAGAAAGTATATACTCCGGTTTGTGTCCAAGTCCTCTTCACCTCATTAATTACTTTCTGTCTTCATCGTCTTACATCCAATGGCTTAACTACTCATATGAGGTAGGTGGCTTAAATCCCTTGAATTACTAGTTGCACGATACATACTTATGAATGATGGTGAAGCTTCAGCATTGAATGGATTATCATTATGAATAAAAACATCTCCATACATCTAGGAAAACTTTGTCTCTAGCTTCCCTTTCAGTAGTTGGCTTTTCTGGAACGACATCTGAACTATCAAGATCGATATCCAATACACTCCTATCTATTGGCCCACGTACTTCTCTTTTAGAGTTGTTCCCAATGCTTGATGAAGCAAACGTATTCACATTTTGAGAGTAGGCACCGTTATCACTAAGTTCCTACTGGTTTCTCTTGTTCACTTTCTTCGTTTGGCGGGCCAAGTTGAAAAGAGATGACATCTCTTGTTTAACATTGTCAAGAACTTTTGTGCAAGGTGTCACATTTTGCCTTCTCCCAGCAAGATGATGCTTAAATCTACTAAGTCCACCTTTGGACTCTTTGTCGCAAAAGTTACACACCACATATTTGTAATTCTTTTTCTGTCCATCAATTGCAGGTGTTGAGTTTACCACATATTTCCATGCTGGATCCGCCATGTTTTGTACTGTGTTTTACTAAGAAAAAATCTTAAAACTTATGTATGCACAAATTCAATCAGTAACAACAAAGATACACATAAACTTTGAAAATAAAAGTTCACATAATACACACTCAAGAAGAAAAACTTGATATAATTCAAAGAAAAAAAATACAAAGATGCTATAAACAATCAATGTAGAAAAAAATTTAAAAATGGAGAAATAATTTTGCATATTTTGCCTCGCAGTCGACAAAAATATAAACAAATGAAACTAAAGAATAAAAATTGAGCATGGTTCCTCATTTGAAGTCCGAATAGATGAATCGTAAGAGGAGTTATTCACGTTTGGATGCAATTAAGCTTTTATTATGTAATTAAATTACTAATTAAACCCTAATCTAACTTTTTTGGGGGAGGGAATTGCGTAGGATTCCACGCACTTTAGTGCATACACACTGAGGCATACACTTTTATGCTCCAAAGCTATGCCTTATATAAAAAACTAACATTGCATAAATCGTGATGGTGCTAGGGGGCTTTTTTAAAAAATTTTCCTGGAGGCACACCTCTGGAATTTCCATTACTCTAACTTAGCTCCTTTGTGTTTGCCCTGGTGATGGATCGGGTGATGGATGTATTGTCGGGGAGTTCAAGGGGAGGCTCCTTAGTGCATGCGTTTTACTAACAATATTGTGCCCGGAGGGGTGTGATGGAATAAATCAAAATGGATCTCTAAACTGTCTGCACTTCTTTAATTAATGAAGTAGCAGTTAGTCAAGCAATGCAACTTTCGACGTTGAGCCGGGGGTCTCTTTGGAAACAGCCTCTCTACTTTCGAGTAGGGGCAAGGTCTGCGTACACACACCCTCCCCAGACCCTACTCCTGTGGGATTTAACTGGGCTGTTGTTGTTGTTGTTTGTTATTGTGCCTGGAGGGGCTAACTGACAAGTTAGAGCTATGGCATTTTTCCCTGACTGAGTAGTATGAAGATTGAAAACATGGAATGTTGTTTTAGTTGCCAGTGATGTAATCAAAGGTGGAAATTAGGATTGAATCCTACCTAGTGCCTAAGGTAGACTTGTTTCGGTATCTTGGTTCGGTCATTCTGGCGGATGGGGAGTTAGATGGGGATGTTGTGCACCCTATTGGAGTGGCTTGGGTGCAGTGGAGGTTAGCTTCTAGGGTTCTATGGGTTATGAAAATTTTGTCTAGGATGAAATGTAAGTTTTATCGTTCCGTAGTCAGGCCAACTATGTTGTATGGTGTAGGGTGCAGTACAGCTAAGAAAATTCATGTTCATCAATTTCATGTTGTGGAGATGCAGATGTTGCGGTGGATGAGTGTAAAGACGAGGTTAGATAGGATTCAAAATAAGGTTATCCGTGGATTGGTAGAAGTGGCACCGATGGAGGTTAAGCTACGGGAAGCTAGGTTGAGGTGGTTTGGACTTTTGAGGACTAAGGTGGCAAAGTGATGAGGCCAGTGCAGAGATTTGAGAGGCTTACGATGGTGGGAGGGAGTAGGGGAAGGGTTAGACTTAGGGAAAATTGGAAGGAGGTAATTATGCAGGACCTAAGACTTCTAGCTCTTACTGAGGGTATGACCTTAGATAGGAACGTTTGGAGTGCTAGAATTAGAGTAGTTGGGTAGGCATTTAGGGCTTGATTGTAGTTTTGCACTTGTGTTTGTGTGCTTTAGATGCTTGGTTCTTTTTTGCTTGTTGTGCATTTCCTCTATATTTAGTTTGTTCCCCGCTTTATGTTTGTTGTGTCTTCTTGTGTTACCTAAGCCGGGGGTGTCTTGGAAACAACCTCTCTACTTTCGAGCAGGGGTAATGTCTGTGTACACACTACACACCCTCCTTAGGCTACTCTCGTGGGATCCTATTGGGTTGTTGTTCATGGCTCGAGGGAACTTTAGATCCTCTATTCATGTAGTCCGTGACTAGTTAGGGATTTTGTTTTGTTACTTAAACAAACCGTTATCTTATGAATGGATATAAGCATGATTGCTAGAATTGGTCTGGATCGTCTAGTTTGATGGATTAATCGCAGGATTGTTCCCTGATGTATTAAGCATATAATGGGTTGGGTCTTACGGTGACTTCAATTTTGTCGCCAAAATTAGTCGCAACAAAAACTTTAGGTTTTCAATCTTCAACGTTCTGCTTCCTTTCATCATAAACCTTGTTTTTATGTGGATGCCCGACTCCCATGTCAATGTCCTTTTTATAGCCTTTTTTTCTAAAATACTTATATATGAGTATTATGTGCATGCACATGGTAACATTAATTAATCTGCCCCAAAATGAAATTTACAGTTTAGGACTTCACAAAGTTTAAATAAATGTTGAGAACTAAAAAAGTGTGGTTGAAGTTTGTGTAAAAACATTGTAAGCACATATTTCATTCCTTAATTGGAAATTAAGGGTGTATATTTTATATTCGGACAATTTAAAAAAGAAAGTGTAAGCTTCATTTTGGAACATGAGGGGTACATTTAAGTACTACTTACTACTCTAGGATCTTACGATTCGAATTTCGATCCCCGATTTACGATCCTCCAAACTCCTTGTGATACTAGCTAGGATCTCGAGTTTAACAGCCTTGACATGAATAAAAACTCTATAAAAAATCTTTCTAGGTGACCCTACACATGATGCCTTTTTGGCTGCTTTATGGATGGAATCCTCCAGGCCTTCTCTCTTATGAACCCAACATATCCAAGTTGGCCGTGGTAGATGAGGCCTTGGCAATGCAGGACATAATTTTGTGCAACGCAAGGCTTCATGTACAGGTTGCATGTGGCCCAGGATAACAATGTCACACACCATGAGGTGGCATTTGAGCCCAGATAATTGGTCCGCCTATAACTTTTTCATGGTGGCATGCTAAAATCACACAATCTTTTACTTCTTTTTCGGCCCTTTATGTCTTCTAGGCGCATAAGAAAGCTCTGCCTGCATACGAAGTAGCTACATTATGTGTTTATGTTTCCTTGCTCAAAGCATATGTTGGACTACCACCAATCTTAGTCCCGGAGATGGGTGAGTGGCTGGTTAGAAGTTTGAAGCCTTCCCGGAAAAATGTTACCAAAACTTAATAATTGAGTTTCATTCAGTTTAGGAATGTATGCCTCTATATTAGAAGGAAATTATCATCTATTATGATTGTTATGACATAAAGAATTTAAAAGGTTTCTTTCTTCTCTGGCTCTCTTTTGGTTCTCCCTGCATGCATTATCCACAATGCAATAGTTCAGAGTTCTTATGTTCATCACAGACCTGTAATGACTAACGACAAGTATTAGCCAGCTATAAAGACATCATAGTATCATATTAATGCTTTATTCAGTTTGAGATCATACTTGTTTTTGATGTTATCATTTGGAATTAAGCACCCTTAGCTGTCTCTCGGTATGTTTTTTGCTAACTTTTTCCCTATTATATCTGTCACATATTATGTATTTTTCTGATTACATTGCCATTATTATTACCCTGGAACAGGGTTTCCTACTCTTGGAATTGAGTGGCAAAAGATGGAAAATCCAGATTTGCGACTGTCAGTGGGGATGAAACCAAACCAGAAAGGTGTTCGGATAAGAAGAATTGATCCAATTTCTCCGGAGTCTACGGTTTTGCAGCCATCTGATATTATTTTAAGTTTTGATGGGGTTGATATAGCAAATGATGGAACAGGTACATGTGCTGTTTTTGTTTTGGATTTATTGTTTGTTACATTTTGTGAATGAGACATCTTTTTTTGTAGCATATGAGGCAACACTGAACTTTTTAACACGCGATAACATGTTCTATGTGGTCTGCAACTTCTCTTCAAGATTTATATAAAACTGACCAAGATTGTGAGACATGCCTATCAAATCATCTTATAATTCATTCTGACGGGTCTCATATTCGATTAAAAATTTTCTTCACTAATAAAGAGTTTTAAAATCGCTAACTTTATTTGAAGCTAACATATTATAAATTAACACAGGGCTTGGTTCTTTTGACACTAGGATAACAAGTCCATTTGAGGGCCTTACGGGGCTCCGTTGCGCCCGGTGGGCGAGTTCACGCGTACCGGAATAGGGAAGCCTGTTCGACATCAATAGGGGAGGTGTGAGTGTAGGGGGACTGGGATGGGTAGGAGTGTTTTTCGGGGAGGGGGAGTTACAGAATAGGACTCGGCTCCGAGCTAAAAAGATCACTCTAGGGCCCCCAAATGGCCTTGATTTCATATTACGATGCCGAAATCCATTGTCAAAAGAACCCGACCGATTAATTTAATACGGAGTACATCTTTTTCCTTTATTCTTGAATTTTATAGGCGAGTAAAAGTTTAATGCCTGATGTTATCCACTTATAATCTTTTATAATGCAATTAAAAGTTTGCTAGAAGTAATATACATTGATCTGAAGCCCCTCTGCCCAGAAAAGGCATGGATTCTGTTTTTGAATGACCCCAGCTCAGACATATTAGAAATGATAAAGGTTAGCACACTTTAATGGATCAAGGGAAATTAGGTGGAAAGGAAGATAAAAGCAACATAAACATCAAAATGGGCGCATCTAACTACATCTGGTTCTCAATCTAATTCTAAAAGTCTTGCACACATAAAAAAACCACACTAAGGCGTACCCAGTAACTTTAATCTTAGACCACCAAACGCCCTTAAGCTTAGCTGACAGATCCCTCATGCCTCCCATCATGGAGCTGTCCTGCCAAAAGTTAGAAACTGTTTCAAGGAAAGTAGGATGAGAAATCCAGGGATTAAGAAACCTGAAAGATTTAGGTCCTGAAGAAAGGCCTTTGATACACTTGAAGAGCAGCGGACACTGATTTGAGGAGCTTCTGTTCAAATGGGTCATGCATATTTCATCAAAGAAAAGAAGCTTGTTGTTGGCCAGAGAAGTCCAGATCATAATTCAACCTTCTCCAGACATGGCCCTGAGCTCTTTTACCATACCAAGTAAATAAGTCCCCTGCAGGGTCAATAGCTGTCAATGGAACTGGCTAATCCATCCATACATATTTTAGTGGAAGTGCATGCCCCTTTGTCCTCATACACATTAGTGATGGCCATTGTTGTTAGGTCGCCAACGACTAGTCGTCCAGGCGGTTTGGGGAAGGGTAAAAACGGGGCGCCTAGCGACTAGGGTGGCCTAATCGTCCGGCAGACTTAGGCAACACTTAGTCGTCGTTCAGTAGCGACTAGTCGGAGAAGTTGACCCAACCCCGACCCATGCCTGATCCAAATTTCATTAAATACTTCATTTTAAATATTACCAGATCAAATCTTGAAATTCCACAATCCAATTGCGATTGGCTAGAGCCGCCAACCTCTAACCTTCCTCATCGATTCAAGATTTGAACCAGATCTGAATTCAATTTTAGATCTTCATCTTCATCGCATCTTGAGCTCGAACTCTTTGGGTGGCGTCGCATGATTCAGGGTCGCACGATTCAGCTGACTAGCGTCTCTCTCTGAATAGGTAAATTTTATATTTATAATTCTTTATCACTTAGTCTCCAAATTTAGTTTAATTTTCTTTAATTTGGTTCATTAAACTATTAAAGTAATAAAAATATATTATATTCTTTATTTTTTTTAACTTCATTCACTTCTGTAAATTTTTTTTGCTGATTTCTATTAACTTTTTTATTGTTAATTTTATTCAGTTTTTTATTCTTTTATTTTTTTTCTGATTCCAATTAACATTTTTTGTGTTGTTATTTTAGTATTTCGACTTAAGAAGTTAATTTAATATTTATTATCTCTTATAAAATAATTTTATACTTATTCCAGAACAAATGAGAGATAATAATGTTCGTGACCGACGATCCATCGATGGACCCCAAACGAAAAGCCGGCTCTAATGATCCCGGATGGAAATATGGGTTTTGGCCAGATATGAACAACAAAGATCTTTAAACATATGCCACAAACTAATCGATGTTCGTTATGTGACTTTATGTGCTATCTTTAAGCATAATTTTTCTTTGATAATGATATTTTGTCATATAAATATATCATCAAGGTTCCCATGACATTGGGAACCAATGTCATGGGATGACCCGGGGGCGCTCTGGTGTCCGTTTGTAAAATTGACGGTTCCTACCCCCCTAACCCCACGGTAACCCCCCCACCCGGCCCCGACCCGAACACAACCCTTCCAAAGTCAAAATCAACTTGTGGGGTGCAATTGAAGGGGTTGGGGGGTGTGTTCGGGTCGGGGCTGGGTGGGGGGGTTTATCGGGGGGTAAGAACCGTCAATTTTACGAACGGGGCACCGGAGCGCCCCTGGTCATCCCATGACATTGGTTCCCAATGTCATGGGAACCTTGCCCTAAATATATATAGTTATTTTAAGTGAATTGAAGATATATATAATGTATTAATGTTTTCAATACTAATTGTGATTTGTCGACTAGTCTACGACTAGTAGGCCGACTAGTCCACTAGTCTCCCCGTCACCGACTCGACTCAGACTTGTTGACTTAAAAACCATGATGATGGCATTAAAATCCTTCCTGATGTACCCCTGGATGGCTCCACCAAAATCCCAACTCTCCCAACATATCCAAAAATCTTCTTTCTTTTCTTTAATTCAAAATAAAGTCTTTCCCATCAATTTTTAACTCCAGGTCAAAAATGAAATCAAAGGAAGACAAGTCAAACCTTAGTTTCTTATTATCTTTTAAAACCTTTGTTTCTTTTCAAATCCTTTTTACCCAAATTATGCCTTTCCCACGTTCTCTTCCAACCTTTATTCCAAAGCCCTGAATAATCGATTATACATAATTGATAATCGACTATTATAGCTCTCTGATTCTTCTTCACAAAACCAGCAACCTGACATAATCGATTATCTTAAAAGTAATAATCGATTATCTCTACTCTCTGAAAAGTACCCAGCTTTGAGCAAGCCCTTGATAATCGATTGTCTTTGAATGTCAATCGACTATTTGGTTTCTCTGAACATTTCCGGATTGAAACCAAATCTTGTGAATCGATTATCTAGAGATGGTAATCGATTATTCTACACCCCTGAACATTGAAACTCAAAGCTATTCAATTCCTGTTTGCCTTTTCTAAGCTTGGGTATTAGGCTGAAGTTATTCCCTGATTTTCAACAAAGAATAAAGCCTTTTCTTTCATAAAACAAAAGCATGATCACTTTTGACACAAAGGAACAAAATTCACAAACAAAGTCATTGAATGAATAGTGCTGTTTTGGCATTTTATTTACAATTGTCAAAAGCTTGATTTCCCTTTGTTTTCTTCCATAAAGGCATGAAATTTCTGCCCAAATAAACCCAAAGAAGATCAGCTCAAAATAAGGAGAAGCATCATGGAAAATCAACTCACATGGATGGGCATTAAGCATTGATTTGTAGGAAAGAAGTAGGAAACTTCCTTGTTGTATTCTTCCTTCCTTTTTCTTGTATTTTTCCTTATTTGTGTTGTATAAATACTTCAGCCATGAGGCCATTGTAACACACCAGATGATTGAATTAAAAACCTTTACTCTTTTGAGTAATTCCTTTAAAATAGTGTGATGCTATTTTAACCAAATTTCCTAATGAAATATCTCTAAAGTTGGCTACTTTTGAGTGCGTGTTAGGAGTCTAATTTTATACATTAGTAGTGATTATTAATGTGTGAAATAGATAACAGCCCCAAATATAATAAGAGTGTGTTTATCTCTTATTCATTATTTGGTTTATCCATCCTTGTTTTCTGCCCATTTCGTTACTCTCCATTTTCTCTTCCTAAGCCACATTCTATTCTCTCTTCATAAATCAAAATACCCAAAAAGAACTCTTTCCCATACTCCATATTTTCATCCCTTCAATTCCATCGTCCATTTTTCTCCGAAAATCCTTCTGCATCATCATCTTCCTCTTCCTTATTATCTTCTGTAAAGCCCAGAGCCTGGAGTATATTAGAAGGCCCATTTACTACATTATCAACACACATGCTATCATCTATACTGCCCTTTGTAAGCATTAGGGTTTTATCATCAAGATTGGCTAGGGTTTGGAATCTATCATATAGAGGAATAGGTTCAACTAAGTCACCATTAGCAAGGCAAAATTGTTCTTTCAAAGATTCTGGCATGTCATTGTAGATGATGTCATCATTACTTATTTCCTCTATTACTTATTTTCTCTAATGGGGAACATACATTTTCTTCTTTGGGAAGTAGATGTGAGTCAAGCCCTCCACTTCAGCATAGATAACATTATGACAACCACGTTATCCCCTTGTCCCCCACTAGAGCTTTCTTCTTATTGAAATAATTGACTGCTGAGTGAAATGTCAGTGGATTTAGATTGTAGCTTTTGCAAGTTACCTGTTGGGGAATTCTTTTGATATAGGACAGGTGGCTTTGCTTTCCAATAGTGGATGGGCTCCACTTTGATGCATCTTACTACTTGAACATCTCTGGTATTTTGTTCTCTCAAGCTGGCATTCGTATTCAACATCTTTGTTTTTTTCACCGTCTTTTGTAACCAATTTAGCATGCAGTGGTCTATACAATAATAAGTTGTTGCTTTAGTTTTATTCATTTAGGTTTGATGGGAAGAGGCGAAAAATTTATTAAAATGGGAGAGGGACATGAACATTTGCCACCCTGGTTAGATGTAGTATCTAAACACCCAATTCTGCGTCTGTGTACAACTTTGTTAATATCTCATGTTACTGCAGATACTTGTTAAACATTGTGCTGAGCTTGCTGACTAACATTAATGTGCTTACAGTTCCATTTCGGTATGGGGAGCGGATATGTTTTAGTTATCTTGTATACCAGAAGTATGCAGGAAACAGTGCAGAAATTAAAATTCTTCGCAATCATGAGACCTACACATTCAATATCAAACTTGAAAGTCACGTAAGGTTGATTCCAGCTCACAACAAGGGCAGACCACCCTCATATTACATAATAGCTGGATTTGTTTTTACATCAGTGTCAGTTCCTTACCTTCGATCAGAGGTGCGTATCATATCTTGGAATAAAAAACAGATAATTGTAGTGGAATGCTGAAACAGACCACATGATATTTTGGAATAGAAATATTTCAGCATTCCACTGCAGTGGTCTATTTTTTATTACAAGATATCATGTGATTAAATTCTTAGTGTTTTAGACCACATCGGAACTTTGCAGAGATAATAATGAGTTTATAAGCTTATGAGTTGAACTAGATAATTGATTGAATTTGATAGAAATAAGATGGGGTATGGGTTATATGATTTGGGTAATAAGGCACTTGGGTTGAACCACATAAAAAGATTGAATCCAATGGATTACTTAATTCAACTCAAGAGCTTATATCTCAGTTACTTTTCTATTCAACTTCCGATATGGGATAGACTCTAACATTCCCCCAAGTGGACAACCGGGTCATTTTGAATCTAACCGGTTGACTACTTGCAAATGGACTCTCATCCCCTTGTTTTTTTAGCGCCAACACCTAGAGGATCACGAGCCGCTGGATATGGACTTCCAGACAAGCAATCGTGTTAAACGGGCCACAGGCCGTTGGGTACATACTCCATACGGACAACTAGGCTAAAGATTAACGAGCCGCTAAGAATGAACGTCTAGACTTACACCTTGACAAATGAGGTGGGCTAAAACTGGCTCTGATACCATGATAAAAATAAGATGGGGGTATGGGTTGCTGAATTTGGGTAATAAGGCACTTGGGTTGAAGCACATTAAAAGATTGAATCCAATAGATTACTTAATTCAACTCAAGAGCTTATATCCCAATTACTTTTCTATTCAACTTCCGACATAAGATAGACTCTAACCGAATTCAATCTTTTAATGTGTTTTAGTCTAGTGTCTTATGGTCTAGCCTAGTCACTCCTACCTTATCCTAAATTCTATCATGGTTACAAAGCCAGGTTTGACTCCCTCGCATGTATAGTTGTCCATCTGGGAGTCCGATCCCAACGGCCTTTGGTTCTGTATCCTAGTTGTTTACATGGAATTTAGACCCAACAACCTGTGGCCCATTTAACCCGATTGTTTGCATAGAAGTTCATAATTAGTGGTCCTTTAGGTGTTGTTGCTGCATTCTCAAATAATGTCATCAACAGTTATATTCCAAATGGTCCCGCTGTCTACTTGAGGGGTGTTAGAATAATAGAATCTCAACTTTGAAAAGAAAAATAATGAGTTTATAAGCTCTTAAGTTGAGTTGAACTAGATAATCAATTGGATTCAATCTTCTAATGTGGTACAAGCCAAGTGTCTTATGATCCAGTCTAGTGACCCCTACGAATCAACTGGATTCGATCTTCTAATGACTGCCAACCAATTTTTATTGTAAAACAGTTAAACAGTACCATACCCCATACCTAACCGACTGTCATGGACCATGCCTATGTTCATCAAATGGGGGCAAGAGTGGTACTAATTCCCTTGTGAATATAAGATGAAAACCTTCAAGTCTGAAAAACACCACTAGGGTGACGTTCCAAGCTTATAGCCACTCACATACGACTTTGACCTTTTCCTCATCCACCTTGACTCCGTCCTGTCCCACATAGCATAAGAGAAGTTCATCTGGCCTCACATTTAATTTCTCCTTATTACAAGTAGAACCCTTTAAATATGAGTGAGGTGGTCATTTTCATCAAGCATCTTTCCATACTATTTTAGGTTGTTTTTCTCTGATATGCAAGTGTTCCTTTTCTCTGAATCTATAATTTGGGGAATCCTTGCTTGTTGGTTTACCTTCTGGAGTTGCATGAATGCTAAATAATTATAAGCTTTTAATGCATTGGGCCGTCACTTTAAAGCATCTAAGTAGTAAGCCCACCTCAAGATGAGTGCTCTCCCATTCTGACTCTTTTGGATTTGGTCATAATGATCAAATAATATCCTGTCTTGTTTGCATCATTCCGGTCAGTCTTAATTTCGGAGAACAGGATTGTCATGTTCGTCATTTTGAGAAAGTTATATTTTCAGAGTTATCGCCCAAATATTAATATCAGTATAGAGATGATGTGCCCGCCAAAGGATCTTGTATATGCATATTAAAATCCACACCCCCTTCCCCATGTACAACTTATAGCTCATACCATGTGCATCTCCAGTATGGAAAGGATTACGAGTATGAAGCTCCTATCAAGCTTTTGGATAAGCTTTTGCATGAATTTCCACAGTCACCGGATGAACAAATAGTTGTAGTTTCTCAGGTTTATTCTTTGTTCTCTACTTCTCTCTTTACCCGTTATTGTCCTTCTCTCCTTGATGTTGTCCTACTAGTGTGTTATAAGCATATATCTGGCTTTCATTTGTAATGGAAGGTTCTTGTGGCTGACATCAACATAGGATATGAGGAGATTGTCAACACTCAGGTTAGTGTCTTAGTGCAACTGCACAACGTGCATGATCTCATAGCTCACAAAGTCAGATTTGATTTTGACTTTGCAAGTAATTGTAGGCCAAATGCCATCTTCATTTGTACACTCTTCTTTCCATCTGATAATTTTTGTTGTAACCAGGTGCTTGCTTTAAATGGCCAGCCTGTGAAGAACTTGAAAGGCTTAGCCAACATGGTGGAGCTCTGTAAAGATGAATATTTGAAGATTGATTTGGAATACCAACAGGTAGGCACACACTTCCTGCTCCCCTACCTGTTCGTTTTGACACTATCATCCCTCTGTTTGTATTCTGTGGAAACCCCCTATATTTGTTTTGTAAATTCTGCAGTTAGTGGTTCTCCACACAAAGAAAGCAAAGGCTGCAACTTTGGACATCCTTAAAACACACTATATACCTTCTGCAATGTCGGATGATCTCAAGGACTAGAATTATTATTAAAGAATGCATCCGTGTCCTTCTCGGAAAGGTCATCCTGGAAAATCAGATGTCAAGAGAATCTTAGCTCGCAACTTTAACTTGCTTGTATTTTCACTGTAATGACGAATAGCTGTTTCAAGGGTGTCCTAAAATTGAAAGGTTCGTAGGGTCTTAGATCACCGAAGACCTTTTGTGGAGGCAGTGCAGATATCTGGTTCCCTTACCATTTTTCATTTGTACGGACTTTTGAGAAGCAACTAGAGGGAGCAAGAAGGAAAGACAAAGGACAGGAAATGAGAAAAGGGTTTTGTGTGGTGTAAAAGTTACATGTAAACATTCTTTTCTAAATTGCTTTTAACCATTGATGTGTATTAGGATGATTGTTTTGCAGGCATTTTGGGTACTATTAACTTTTACAACGTAGTAGCACATAGATTCAATGCCCCCTCGCTATGATTCAAACCTAGTTGAATGTCCTATCTTACAAGCACCGTAGTTCTTTTTCTAAGCTGTTATTTGTTAACCGTTCGTGTGTGCTCTGATGATGAGGCTTTTTAGTTGGTAATACACACGCAACATGCAGGTGTCGAGATTAGCATTCAAGTGATTTGTGCTCATTGTTAACTTGAATGATTGCTATAGAAAAACACAGTAGAGGTTCTGTGGGGCAAGGTCGAGGTGACCTTTGGCAAGTTTTATTCACAAGAATATGTATCAGGGCAGGAGGGACATGAAGTCAGTGCACTAATCCAGTAGGTGTAGAATAGGTTAGGTGTGGGCAAATCCACCGTGTATCAGATGAACGTAGAAAGGTGCATTGACAAATTTGTACAGAATTGGAAGAAGTGTTAACAGTTTAGAGTGTTATTTTGTTGTATTTCATCATACCCAAAGATAAACATAATGAATCTTGAGGGAAAAAAATAGGAAGGGAAGGTGCATGAAAAAGAAATAAGGTTCCATTTGGTACACGAAATTCAAATTATGGAATTAGAATTAGAGACAATAATTTCAATTCTGCTATTTGGTAGCACAAAAATATGTGGATTTAGAATTGGTAGTGTAAAAAAAATTAGAATGGGAGAATTCAATTCCATCTAAGGCCCCGTTTGGTACAGGAAATTTAAATTATGGAATTGGAATTGAGGATTTCAATTCCAATTCTGGTGTTTGGTTGTACAAAAATTATGTGAATTTAGAATTGATAGTGTAAAAAATAAATTGAAATTGGTAGAATTCAATTCTATAGTGTTAGACAAATGTGCAACTCTAGAGGGGGTGAATAGAGTTGTTCTCAAGAATGTGCGTTTTTCGCGTGTGTGAAATAAAAATCGCAAGAATAAATTTAAAGAGTAAGGGAAAGAAGACACCGAGATTTATACTGGTTCACCACCTCGTGGCTAATCCAGTTCTCCAAGAGACTCTCTCGAAGATCCTACTAATCTTCAAGCTTCAACGGGTGCTTGAAAAACCGGTACAACTTGAGAACTTGAATCACACAAGCCTCACTTTCTTACAACACAAAGACTTGAGTCACACAAGTCTTAAGAACAACACTCAAAACAAGATGAGTTTAACAACACAAGAAATAAGGCTCACAAATGAGCAAGTAGTGTTTAAAGTGTAAGCTCTATGGATGACAATATCTTTGCACTCAAAAATAAATAAATAAATAAATAAATAAATAAATAAATAAATAAATAAATATATATATATATATATATATATATATATATATATATATATATATCTAGCTCTCAAAATAGTATTTGATTATCAAGAGATGGAGCAAGAATCAAAAGTAATGAATGAGAGGGTTGAAATGCTTGTATTGTATTTAGAATGAAGGAGGAAAATGAATTTTATAAGTGAAAAATGGATATGTCCGTTGGGGCAAGAAATAGGCTAAGTATGGGATGCAATGGACAAAAAATCGATTTTTACAAAAATGAAAAAATCGATTTTTGCACAAAGAGGAAATCGATTAATACTGCGAATTTGGCAAAGACAGCAAGAATTAATCAATGGCGAGTTGATGAAGGACATATGTTCATATCTTGTTGTTTCCAACAGGAATCTTGAGACAAAGACTCCCAATCACATCCCATATATTATTCAAAAAATTAAATTTTGAACAAATGGTGTGATTTGTGATTTGGGGTATAGAAATTGAGTCCAAAAAATATTTTGTGTCAAATGACGAAAAAGATTTTTGGGGTAAAATGTTTTTGCTTTCCAATTTTTTTTTCTAATATGTAAAAAGATTATTTAAAATTGTTTGACACATCTTTTGTAACTGACTCAATAAATTTATTTTTGAATCGTTTAAAGGATTTTTTAATTGAATCCAAAAATAAATATAAATTTTTAATGTATATCCCTCAATAAAGTAAAATTTAAGTAAAAAGATATTTTGTCATCCTTACAAATTTCCTAGACTCAAAGAAATAAAAGTCTTTGGAAGGCTTCTCTTTACTTCAATATCTTGCGATGGGATAATGAACGGTAGACGTGAATTTCTTGATGTGTCTTTTGCTTTCTTGAACCGAAAAGTAAATTTTCGTTCTTTGTTGTGTTTGTCATTTATCAAAACCTGAAAGATTAATTTTATGACAAAAAAAAATATCTAAAAGGGTTTGAACTCATGTCCAACAATTTCCCCCTTTTTGATAATGACAAACATAGTTGAGATAAGAGCAAAAGAACCAAGAAAAATACTTTCCTTTGATTGAAGAGTTCCCCCTGAAAGTAGAAGTAAATAGAGCTTTCACCGGCACCCTTATGTCACGTGAAAAGTCCACTCCCGAATTAAGAAGGATAAGCATTATAGGGACGGCGAAACGAAGGTGATGGAGTCAAGAGCCATCACGTAGAGCAATGAGAAAGAATATACCCAATCAAATTTGACGTCGTTCAAAAGAACATGAAACAAACATATGTCATCCTTGTTTACGATGCCATGGTTTGAGTCTCGAGGCAACAAGACATAACAAAAAATATATTGAAGAACCCGTTGTATCAAAGTGAGATTAGTGGCACTCGGGTTTGAGGAGTTGGCATATGAAAGCCTATGAAAAGAGACGCCGAGTTGTTGCCAAAAGGCTTTTTCCTCAAAGGTGTTATCAAAATTTCCACGGACTTCACCTTGACGGAGACCAAGAATAGCTATCAAGGTCTTGGCATGAACCGTAAAGGTTTTGCCGTCAACGTGTGCGACCAAATCCGGACTATCTCCGAGAGTAATACGAAGAGTTGAATAGAATTGACGAATGAGATTTGGACAGTAAAAATCGTATTTCAAAGAGATAAACTTTAGTAAACCTTGTTGTTGGAAGGGAGCTTTACACAGGGCATAGGTTACGTCGTTGAAGAGGGTCGGCTCAACAATCTTTGGCGAGATAATCTCCCTGTCCAGAAACTCTTTGTGGAACTTCTCAACATCCGAAGTGTTGGCAAATCGGATGTTGGTTTGAGTGTGGACGTAGGTTAGGCCGTCCAACCTCCAAATGGCACCTACGGTTGGGACATGTGGTGGCTTCTCCGCTCTTTTCCTTCACATTTTTGATGAAATTGAAGATGAAATTTAAGAGATTTGGCCAAGAATCGAAGGAAAAAAGATGAAGAATTCGAACCTAGGGTTAGTGGGTGCTCATTGCCGCTAGAGGAAGAAGGAGGGTTTAGATCAGATTTAGTTTCAGATGTTAGACAAATGTGCAACTCTAGAGGGGGGAGGGCGGTGAATAGAGTTGTTTTCAAGAATGTGGCTAGTCCAGTCCTAAAAAGAGTAAGGGAAAGAAGAACACCGAGATTTATACTGGTTCACCACCTTGTGGCTAGTCCAGTCCTCCGAGAGACTCTCTCGAAAGTCCTACTAATCTTCAAGCTTCAACGGGTGCTTGAAAAACCGGTACAACTTGAGAACTTGAATCACACAAGCCTCACTTTCTTACAACACCAAGACTTGAGTCACACAAATCTTAAGAACAACATTCAAATAAGATTGAGTTTACAACACAAGAATGAAAGCTCACACAATTGAGCAAGTAGTGTTTAAAAGATTTAAGCTCTATGGATGACAACTTCTTTAGCACTCAAAGAAAATATTTCTAACTCTCAAAAATAATATTTTGATGAGGAAGATGAAGCAAAGGATGAATATAGCTCAAAGAATATATTGGAGTGCAAGAGTAGTGTATAGAAATGAAGGAGAATGAGGGATTAAATAGGCTGGGGAAAATAAATCCGTTGAAGCAAGCGAGAATATGCACCAGATAATATTAATCGATTAACATGGATAGTTAAATCGATTACGGTACACAGAGGCGAGAATGCCTGAAAACAAAATTGGAACTAATCGATTAAACTGAAGCAAAAAATCGATTAGTCGGCAAGCCAAGGAATCCAACGAACATTCAATTAATCGATTAAATAAGAGGAGAAAATCGATTAGCTTGCTCTGCCCAAACTAATCGATTAAATGAAGAGAATTAATCGATTAACTGCATGACTTGAGAAACGCGCTAAGAAAACAATTGGATCAAATCGATTATCTCAGAATGTTTAATCGATTAATAAAGGAATAATGCACAAGACACAAAAGGCCCAAGCCAAGTGGGATGAGAAGCGAAAGTTAGAGTTTATTCCTTGTTTACGACAACTAAAATAAGGTAGATGCTCCTCTCTCAATCAGTAAACACTCATTCAAAGTATTTGAATGAGGTAAAAGTGAGTCCAAAAACTATTTTGTGTGTCAAACGATGTACACGAAAAAAAATATTTAAACTATATTTTTCTTACCAAAATGTTTTTGTGTAACCTTAAAAAGTATTTTTAAGAAATTTTTGACACACTATTTTGAAATTGACTCAGTAAAATATTTTTAAACAGAGAGAAAATAATTTTTCAACTGACTCAGAAAATAATAATTTTTATCCCTCAAAAGGTAATTTGTTTGTACAGAAAGTATTGTCATCCTTACAAAGATTCTTAGACTCAATTAAAAAAATCTTCGGAGTCTTCACTTCACTTCAAAAACTTCTGCGTAGGGGTAAGCCTTGATTTTATCTTGATACGCCTCTTTGCTTTTCTCAATACGAGAAAATAAATTTTTGATTAGCTTGAATTTAATCATCCTGTTTGTCATTTATCAAAACAAAAAAATATTCCAATAATATTAAAGGGGTTTGAACTCATGTCCAACAATTTCCCCCTTTTTGATAATGACAAACATAGTTGAGAAAAAACAAAACAAGAATTCAAGAAATACTTCCCTTAATATAATTCCCCCTGCATGGTTAGAGAAGTGCAGAAAAAAAGTTTCGGAGTAATAAGCGGAAAAAACGTTTTTGAAAATCAAGGTTTCTCAACTATCCTTCCTTCCCCCTTTTTGGCATTATCAACCGATATCCTTCCCCCTTAATCAATGCCGGGAAATTGAAGGATAGAAAAAAGATTTTGCAAGAGTTTTCTTAAAAAAGAGAACTCCTAACAAAAAATGCCACAAAGGGACAATATGTTATAAAAATGAACAATATTGCCAAATCAACATCAATACACAGTTAACATCATCAATTAACAAGAGTACATAGTCATTAACCAAAGCATTATCATCATCCACCAAAAGAGTTATAAAAGCAATAACAATAGCATTTAGCAATGTATCAAAATAAGTCAAAATAATGGACAACATAATCAAAGAGAGTTCGCCGGACGAGCTCCTCCGCTAAGGCAGTGACGCGGGCCACGATAGGAGCGGGATTGCTCAAAACGAGTCATCCTCTCGTTGAGCTGGCGAATGTCATCTCGAATGCACGTGAGAGTATCGAAGATCCTCTTCACCTAAGATGGTTTCGGTGCTTCTTCTCTTGGACGAGTCCTACGTTGACGAGTGACGCGCTCCGTGGCTCGACTTCCTCCGGCATGAGATGACTCGGCTTGAGTCTCGTTTTGGCTCTCTTCTTCGTCTGCGACTACCAGGTCCAGATTTAGTGCAGCATCACCCTCCTCACGGTACACGATCCGGGAAAACTTGGTGTCCTTGATGTAACAAGTCTTCTTGACCGGAACCTGAGTGTCCCGAGTAAGGTCCACTTTGGAATGAGCAAGGATATGCATGATAGGGATGGCAAAACGAAGATGTGAAAAGCGAGAGCCCTCATAGAGTGCAACAAGAAAGAAATGAACCCAATCAAATTTGACATTGTTCAACAGGACGTGAAACAAACGAATGTCATCCTTATTGACAACGCCATGGTTCGAATCACGGGGCAACAAAACATAGAAGAAGATGTATTGTTGGACGCGTTGAATAAAAGTGAGGTTAATGACACTCGGGTTGCTAGAATTTCTAAACTTGAGGTCACGATGATCTAACCCGAGTTGTCTCCAAATACCCTCATCTTGGAATGTTTCATCCAAGTTGTCGGTAATTTCACCTCTACGAAGGCCAAAGAGAGATATCAAGGCGGCACCGTCAACAAAAACGGTTTTGCCGTCAACATAGGAGATGAGAGATGGCAAATTTCCCAAAGTGGTACGAAGAATGGAGCAAAATTGACGTATAAGATTTGGACAAAAGAATTCATACGTCAAATGAATAAAACGAAGCAAACCTTGCTGAGAGAAAAGGGACTTACTCGGGGCATAGGTCGCCGATTTGAAGAGGTCCTTGTCCATAATCTTCGGTAGGATGATCTCCTTCGTGAGAAAGGTGTTGTGGAACCTTTCCGCTGATGCTCCCGTGTTGAATGCAAGTCCGGTTTGGATGTGGATGTACTTCCTCCCTTCACGACGCCATGGCCTCTCACCTTCTTCTGCCGTCGATTCTTGACGCGATGAAGCGTTTTTGCACCTTGGCATCTTTCTTCTTTGAATTTGATGACTTTTGGTGAAAAATTGGTGAAGAAATTGTTGAGGAAAAACGAAAATGGAGTTGAAGAAGGAGGCTAGGGTTTCGCACGGTTCTGGTTCTGTAAAAGGAAATGGCGAAGAAGACGAAGACGGGCTGATTTTAAGAGACAGGAAACCGAAAAATAATCGATTAGTTAGATCCATTTAATCGATTAGTAGACACAGCCGTGTCTAATCGATTACTTTAAAGAGATTAATCGATTAAAAGCAGAACCCAGTGAATTTGCGCTGAAGATATTAATCGATTACAAAGAAGGGTATTAATCGATTAAGAGAGACAGACGCGTCTAATTGATTTCTCTTTTAGGGGTAATCGATTAAACAACAATTAACAGAAAAAAATCATCAAGTTCAATTTCGGGTTGATACTAAGGGAAGAGATACCTGAAATAAAAGCCCTGCAAAAAAGATTTTATCGCGCTTCCTACGCTCAAATTAGTATAATCAATAAAAAGAATGAATTAGTTCATAGAGATATCCAAAATGCCAAGTTCGTTCCTAATGTGGAAGAAACTCTCCCTACTGAGGGGTTTCGTGAAAATGTCCGCCAATTGATGCTTCGTTTCAACAAACTCAATTGTGACATCTCCCTTTTGGACATGATCTCGTATGAAGTGATGCCTAATTTCTATGTGTTTAGTCCTCGAGTAAAGAACGGGGTTCTTCGTTAGACTAATAGCACTCATATTGTCACATCTAATTGAGATGTGATCAAGTATAAGGCCGAAATCCACTAGTTGCTGTTTTAGCCAAAGAATTTGGGCACAACAACTTCCCGCAGTGACATATTCCGCTTCGGTGGTGGAAAGTGCAACACTAACTTGTTTCTTACTAAACCACGAGATTAACGAATGACCGAATAAGTGGCAAGTACCGCTGGTACTTTTCCTATCGAGTTTGCAACCTGCAAAATCCGAGTCAGAATAGCCAACAAGATGACATGTCAAACCTTTGGGATACCAAAGACCTACGTTCAACGTGCCTGCGAGATATCGCATTATCCTTTCATCGCAACCAAGTGCGACTCTTTAGGACACGATTGATACCTAGCGCATATACAAACGAAGTACATGATATCTGGTCTACTTGCGGTAAGATAAAGTAAAGAGCCGATCATACCTCGGTAGCGCTTGATATCTACCTCTTTACCTTTTTCGTCCTTGTCGAGATAGCAAGAGGTGCTCATCGGTGTGTCAATGGATTTGGATTCGGTAACATCGAATCTCTTAAGCAATTCCCTGCAATATTTCGTTTGACACACGAATGTACCTTCTTTGCATTGTCTAATTTGTAGCCCAAGGAAGAATTTCAATTCTCCCATCATCGACATTTCAAACTCGCTTTGCATTATATTAGAAAAATCCATGCACAAAACCTCGTTAGTAGCACCGAATATGATATCATCTACGTAAACTTGAACTAATATGATGTCTTGGTTATCTTTCTTGATGAAAAGTGTAGTGTCAACTTGACCCTGTTTGAACTCATGGTCCAAAAGAAATTTGCTTAAATGTTCATACCAAGCATGAGGTGCTTGTTTGAGACCGTAAAGTGCCTTTTTGAGTTTGAAGACATGTTCGGGAAACTCATAGTCTTCGAAACCCGGGGGTTGTTCGATATACACTTCCTCTTGAATGATACCATTAAAGAAGGCACTTTTAACATCCATTTGATAAAGTTTAAAATACATCGTAGATGCAAAAGCAAGTAATAAACGAATAGCCTTTAGCTAAGTTTCTTCATAATCAATGCTTAAGTTTCTTCATAATCAATGCCTTCTTCTTGATTGTAGCCTTTAGCTACAAGACTAGCTTTGTTTCTAGTGATTACTCCATTTTCATCGAGTTTGTTACGAAACACCCATTTTGTGCCAATAACGGAATGATCATTGGGTCTAGGCACCAATTCCCAAACATCTTTGTGTTTAAATTGGTTAAGCTCCTCTTGCATTGCCATAGACCAATGTTCATCATTAATAGCATCCAAAACGGTTGTTGGTTCAATTTGTAAAACAAAGGCCATGTGATTAATTGTGTTCATAAGAGAATTACGAGTAGAGACTCCCTGCGTTATGTCACCAATGACGTTGTCAATCGGGTGATTCTTCAACGTTCTCCACTCCTTAGGAAGCTCAGTTTGCTCATGCGTTTTCTCTTCTTCCGGTTCCTTTTCCTTAATGATTTCTTCATCATCATCATAAGAGCTTGTAAGATTTACAACAATACCTTTTCTCGCCAAGCGAGCATCAAATTCATCGAAAACAACATGAATAGACTCCTCTATAGTCTTAGTACGCTTGTTGAACACTCTATATGCCTTACTACGAAGAGAGTAACCTAAGAAAATTCCTTCATCCGACTTAGCATCAAATTTTCCCAAGTTATCTTTTCCATTATTGTGGATAAAAGCTTTACATCCAAAGACATGAAAATAGGAAAGGTTAGGCTTTCTTCCTCTGTAAAGTTTGTAGGGCGTTTTCTTGAGTATTGGTCTAATGACGGCTCGGTTTAATACGTAGCATGCGGTACTCACGGCATCCGCCCAAAAATATTTAGGAAGTTTAGCCTCATTGAGCATAGTTCTAACCATCTCTTCAAGAGACCTATTTTTCCGTTCAACCACTCCATTTTGTTGTGGTGTACGGGGGGCCGAGAAGTTATGCTCAATGCCTAATTCGTCACATAAGGCGTCAAAGCCATCTTGATTGAATTCTCCCCCATGATCACTTCTAATGGATGATATGTGACAATCTTTTTCATTTTGAACCAATTTGATGAATTTCTTAAAAACATTAAGTGCATCATACTTATGAGCAAGGAAAAGTGTCCAAGTAAACCTCGAATAGTCATCAACGATAACAAAACCAAAATAATTGCCTCCTAAACTCATAGTTCTCGAAGGTCCAAAAAGGTCCATGTGCAAAAGTTGTAATGGCCTAGTCGTGGAAACAACGTGCTTTGACTTAAACGAGGCCCTTACTTGCTTCCCCTTTTGACATGCATCACAAATTAGATTCTTCTCAAACTTAAGTTTAGGAACACCAATTACTAAGTCTTTAGAAACCAACTTATTAAGATGGTCCATATTAACGTGAGCTATCCGACGATGCCATAGCCACGTTTCCTCCTCTTTAGTAATAAGGCACTTAGCTAAGGTAGATGGGGAATTTTCAAGGTCAAACATATAATTGTTATCTACCCTACTACCACAAAGAATAACCTTATTGTCACACAAGTGTTCTACAATGCATTTACTAGAATCAAAGATGACACGATTACCTTTATCGCACAATTGACTAATGCTAAGAAGATTGTGTTTGAGGCCCTCAACAAGAAAAACGTTCTCAACGGTTGTAGCATTGTCTCTTCTGACGGTGCCACTTCCAACAATCCTTCCTTTGTTGTTATCGCCAAAAACGACATTGGCACCTTTGAAGTACTCTAAACTCCTAAATTTGGATGCGTCTCCGGTCATGTGCTTGGAGCATCCACTATCGAGATACCAAGAGGTACTCGAAGCCTTCAAGCACACCTACAAAAAGTTATCAAGGAGACCGTTTAGGTACCCATGTATTGTTGGGTCCTTTTTGGTTAGCATATGTGTGATGTGTGTGCGTTTATTGAAAATGCCTGTAACGCCCTACAAACCGGCCTAACAGCTAGTCAATATTTTAAATAAATAAATATTATTTATTTATTGAGACTCATTATTTTAATTAATAAATATTGAGATTTTGATCTCTTAAAATGATTTCCAAAGTTAATGTATTTTAATTATAAAAGATGTTTTAATAACGGGTATCTCGACATTAATTAAGTAAATGAACTAATTAATGTTTGGGATGAATCCGGAAGTTTAAAAATAAAGTTTTTGGAAAAATATTTTGAAGATATCATAAATTTAGTTGGACTGTTTATTTCGGAAAATGCGATCGGTTTTCAATTCGGACCTTTGGGGGAAAAACCGCATACCGTTCAAGTCAGATTTTACACAACGGAACGAATTTAAGGGAGGTAACCTCCCCATTAATTTCACTCACCACTCAACACCCACTCACACACATTCATGCCCATTTAATTCCTTCATTATTCCTCATTATGGTACCCTTTCAATTTAAACCCAACCCATTCCCTTCCTCCACCACATTTGTAACTCCCACATACACACAACCCTCACTCTCTCCCTCTCCCCATTGTTTTCGGCCACACAGCAGCTCCAGGAGATTTTCCGGCGAGTAACCGGGGAGGTAGAAGAGGAGAAGTTCACACAAGAAGACATACGTTGTTCGTCATCCACTGTTCGTTCGTTCACTAGACGTCCGTTCGTTCATCTCGTTTCATCGTTCCATCAACCCCTTCGTTTACAAGTGAGTACGTTGCCTCTAACTTTAGAATTCGTAGTTCAATCATATTGTTATATTCATAGGATTACCCGGCTAAACATACGTGTGTCCGCATTATCATGGTTATACGTTATCTAGACCTTTCAATGATGAATATGTTAATATAAACGTTTTGATAATCCATAATTTCACAGCTTATTAAATGTGTAAACATAAACATTCGTACCGAAAACTTCCAACGTATTGACGGCAATCAAACAGACAAAATAGGAATCAGCGTGCCTTGATAATCGATTTACAGAGCATGATAATCGATTATCAGGCCACGCTGAACTCCTCAGTTGATCTATCAAGCGTGATAATCGATTATCAGGCCACGCTGAACTCCTCAGTTGATCTATCAAGCGTGATAATCGATTGTCACATACCTGATAATTAATTATCAGGCCCTGCGGAATCCCGAGTCGGAGCTAGTTCATGTGATAATCGATTATCACAGTAGCAAATATCGATTATCAGGCCCCTCTGAACTTGGGTATCTTGGACGAAACCATGCGACAATTGATTGTCATGAAGTGACAATCGATTATCTTGGACGGAATCAACATATACGAATGCGTTGAACTTAACTTCATTCTGTAATCAATGCATCCATATCATCATGTATATCCTAGACGCATGTTTAGAATCATGGCATACTTTGCATACGCGACAAGAGGTCAGGCCTAGTGCGCCTCTTCCACGGGCCCGTCCAGGAACCTGCGGGATCCAACCGGTTTTCATCACGAGGGCTTGTGTACGTACATGGTAGCTAGGCTTAGCTATCACCCACATTCTAGTCTCCATCGGGATGACTAAGGCATTCCTCGGCTCATCTACCGCATGGGGATGATCACCGAAGGGCAGGGGTGTCCCTGCGCAGTCTAACTTATGCATCATGTTTATTTGGCATTACATATTTCATAACGTTTATCATTGTTCATCTTGTTTATCAAACTCGTATGTGGTATCTCGTACTTTAGTACAGGAACGATTATGTTTATATCAATGTGAATGTACTATGAGTTCAACTGTTATATTACCACTCAGCTTTTGCTGAGCGTATAACGTTGTTTCCCTTTGCTATACGCAGGTAGGCGAGAGGATCATGGAGCCTGACCCGGATGATTGGGTGATCGGGGCGGCGGATGAATGACAGTGCAGGCCGAATTAATCATTTATTTAATATTCAAAACGATTTGGGCATGAACCCACCGATGTTGCACTTACACTATTTTTGACTTAACAGTTTTATTTACATTTGCTTCCGCTATAAAACGTTTCTTTTAAGTGAATTTAATTTCATCATTTAATAGAATATATCAAGGGATTTTCCGTTACAAGCAATGCAAGGGTTTTTCTTTGTAGACGGCCTTAAAACCGTCTACGTAACCTCTCCGGCGCGTTGGCCTGCAGCGAACCGGGTTCTCGGGACAGAGGGTGTTACAATGCCTATGTTTGGTGAAACACACGGGTGCAATGTTACCTATCTTATTACAATAATGGCAAATAACATTTGGATTATTCATCCTATATGGTTTAGTGTAATGAGTTCTAGGTTTGCTAGGAGGTGCTCTTCTAGTTTGATTATTTGTCCTATCATTTTTATTCCCCCTAGCTTTAACAAATGTTGTTTTTCTAGGTGGGTTTTTCTTATATCCAAGTCCTTCACCATTTCTATGTTTTTGCCTAAGTATTTTATCTAAGGTGTTTGATGCTTTATTAAACTTTTCCAATTTGCTCTCTAAAGTGGCAACCTTAATTTTAAATGAAGTACAACTAGAGCATGTAATAGATGAACATGATGGTGATGTTTCCGGCCTTTTTCCAAGAGAAACAATTTCTTGTTTAAGTTGATCATTTATATTTTTGAGTTCTTTGATATCATTCTCAAAAATCAGAATTTTATGTTTAACTTCTTTATTTTCCTTTGAGGCCTTCTTAAACATTCCAACTAGTTCTTCTACAATGTACATAACATCATTTGAAGATAAGAGTTCATTGGAGAAAGGTTTTTGATCACTTACCTCCTTAGATGCTGGATCTTCTTCAATGGCCATGAGGCAAAGATTGGCCATCTCCTCCGCTTCGGAATCTTCACTTCCGGAGCCATCGTTCTCCCAAGAGATGTAGGCATGTTGCTTCTTTTGTGCCTTCTTGTCCTTCTCGTTCTTGGCTCCCGTTTTGTTCATCATCTTCTTGAATCTCCGTACGAAGAGCTTGATGTCGGTGTCATCACTATCATCATCTTCGTCGTCAACTTTGTTGGTTGACGTTGTTGCGGGAAGAGCGAAGCTTCTCTTGTTCTTCTCTTCAACCACTTTTGAAAATTGAGTGGTATCGTAGGTAATGAGATTACCTTGAAGAGAATCGTAAGTCATCGTTTGGAAGCCGCGCCCTTTCTCGATTGCATCCACCTTTGAACGCCACTTGGGTGACAAGCTCCGCAACACCTTCCTTACAAGTTCTTGGTCGGTGTAGACCTTTCCGAGAAGGTTGAGAGGATTGATGATGTTGGAGAACCTCTCGAACATCTCTTCCACCTTCTCATTCTCCTTCATTGAGAACAATTCGTACTCGTGGGTGAGTTGGTCTATTTTGGCCTCCCGAACTTGGGGGGTTCCTTCATAGGTGATTTCTAACTTCTCCCACATTTGCTTTGCGGTTTCGCATCGCGAGATCTTTCGGTAGTCATCTGCGTTTATGCCGCAATAAATTATGTTTATTGCCTTAGCGTTGAGCTCCATCTTCTTGAAGTCATTCTCGTCGAACTCTTCTTCGGTTTTGGGAAGGTAGACTCCGTCGACTTGCTTCATCGAAATTCCGCAGCCGTTCTTTACAATCAACCATAGCTTGTAATCGTTAGATTGGATAAAGATTCTCTCCTCTCCTTCCAATACGAGTAGTTTGTTCCATCGAACAAAGGTGGCCTCGTGGTTGATTGTCCCTCGGTTACTCCTGCGTTGAACATTTTTGATCCCATTTGATCTTTTATTTCCTGAAAGTATAACGTATTCGAAGAACTTCCTGCTCTGATACCAATTGTTAGACAAATGCGCAACTCTAGAGGGGGGTGAATAGAGTTGTTTTCAAGAATGTGCATTTTTCGCGTGTGTGAAAAAAAAATTGCAAGAATAAATTTAAAGAGTAAGGGAAAGAAGAACACCGAGATTTATACTGGTTCACCACCTCGTGGCTAATCCAGTCCTCCAAGAGACTCTCTCGAAAGTCCTACTAATCTTCAAGCTTCAACGGGTGCTTGAAAAACCGGTACAACTTGAGAACTTGAATCGCACAAGCCTCACTTTCTTACAACACCAAGACTTGAGTCACACAAGTCTTAAGAACAACACTCAAAACAAGATGAGTTTAACAACACAAGAAATAAGGCTCACAAATGAGCAAGTAGTGTTTAAAGTGTAAGCTCTATGTAAGCTTTATAGGTGAAAAATGGATATGTCCGTTGGGGCAAGAAATAGGCTAAGTATGGGATGCAACTGACAAAAAATCGATTTTTACAAAAATGAAAAATCGATTAGGAGCTGCTGAGTAAAATTTCTTCTACGCAACAGGTAGCCAATCGATTAAATAGAGAAGACTTTAATTGATTTTTTCCAGAAATCGATTTCACCAAAGGTGATCTAATCGATTAAAAAACTGGGCGAGAGAACTCAATTCTGTAAAACAATAGAAATCAATTTTTGCACAAAGAGGAAATCGATTAATACTGCGAATTTGGCAAAGACAGCAAGAATTAATCAATAGCGAGTTGATGAAGGACATTTGTCCATATCTTGTTGTTTCCAACAGGATTCTTGAGACAAAGGCTCCCAATCACATCCCATATATTATTCAAAAAATAAAATTTGGAATAGAAATTGAGTCCAAAAAATATTTTGTGTCAAATGACGAAAAATATTTTTGGGGTAAAATCTATTTGCTTCCCAAAAAAAATTTCTAATATGTAAAGAGATTAATTAAAATTATTTGACACATCTTTTGTAACTGACTCAATAAATTTATTTTTAAATCGTTTAAAGGATTTTTCAATTGACTCCAAAAATAAATATAAATTTTTAATGTATATCCCTCAATAAAGTAAAATTTAAGTAAAAAGATATTTTTTCATCCCTACAAATTTCTTAGACTCAAAGAAATAAAAGTCTTCGGAAGGCTTCTCTTTACTTCAATATCTTGGGATGGGATAATGAACGGTAGACGTGAATTTCTTGATGTGTCTTTTGCTTTCTTGAACCGAAAAGTAAATTTTCGTTCTTCGTTGTGTTTGTCATTTATCAAAACCTGAAAGATTAATTTTATGACAAAAAAAATATCTAAAAGGGTTTGAACTCATGTCCAACATATAGAATTGAATCCAATGAAATTTCAATTCCAATTCCGTCAATTACGTATACCAAACGGACTCTAAGGGTCCATTTGGTAAACAGAATTGATAGGAATTGGAATTGAATTGGAATCATAATTCCATGATATTCAATTCTATAGAATTGAATTAACCAATTCCAATTCATTTTTTTCATTACCAATTCTAAATGCACATAATTTTTGTGATACCAAACGCTAGAATTGGAATTGAGGTTCTCAATTCCAATTCCATAGTTTGAATTCCGTGTACCAAACGGAGCGTAAATGAATTCCATAAAATTTCAACTTTCAATTCAATTTCAATTCCGTGTACCAAACGGATTCTGAAAGATGAGATTCTCACAATCCAACATTCCTACTTCCCTCAAAATGAGCATTTTTCGAAGTAGAATGACCACTTGTTTCAAGTAAAATGAGTAGAAAAAAAATTACATAAGTAAATGACAAAATAGTAATTTAAATGAGAAACAACACACTCAGTAAAATCATACAAAGTGAGGCTTGGAGGCTGCGTATTGGACTTTGCTTTTACTGGATAAAACAAAAGAGCACAATGATAAATAAAATAAAGTATCACGACCAAAGAATACAAAGTACAAGAAGCACATATGTAAAAATTGCAAATTTAAATAACGTATGAAGAAACTATATATTAAAGTGCAAGGATATATTACATAATTCTCATTTTAGATTTTCAGATGTGGCAAAATCTAATCACATCCTTCAAATTCTTCTTAAATACACCTATATCTATTGCCTTGATACATATTCTAGGCCGGCCGACCAATCGGGGAAACCGCAACTCAAATGAATTTTTGGTCTGGCCCAATGGCGAAACATTTTTTAACTAAACACGTTAGGAACAGCTGGACCCTCGACCAAACTTGTGATCAGGGTCAAAGTTTGATTTTTTAGAATTAAAACTATTTTTTTCCTTTAAAATTTGAAATGGCAAATGCATTAGTTGACTTGTGACTAGACCTGGCAAAACATAACCGGAATCGATTACCCGAACTGAAATATATCCGAAACCGAAACCGAAATGATCCGAAAAATGAAGATCAGATCTATAACCGAAAACCCGAAATGATCCGAATCGAACCGAAACCGAACTAAATAATTCATATTTGATTTCAATGCAAAACCGATTAGATCCAAAATCGATAATATCTGAACCGATTAAATCCGAAACGATTAGATTCAAAACCGATAATACCCGAAATTGATAAAATCTGAAACCGATTAGATCCAAAATCGATAATATCCGAACCCGATTAAAACTAAAACCGATAAATTCGGAATTGTGTTTGCCTTTCAATAAGCATATTATATTTTGAAATTTTTAATTTTATTTTACCATTTGAACTATCTACATTACTTGCTAATTCCCTCGTAAAATGGATTATAATCTTGAACAAAAGTACATAATTTCATGCCTTAAATTTATTATATTTAGAAATTGAAGATAAGTTATACATATAAAATTTTGGATGAATAAAGTGAGTCAAGAATTGAAGGTGTATGGAAATGGAGAAATGAGTTCAATGGTGGCATAAGAAAACTGATAAGATTAAACAGGGAAAGTGAAAAGGAATGGTGGAAATTTTGAGCATAAAAAAATTGATAAAAAAATTTAAGTCTTTGATTAGTTAACATTCTTATTTTGAAGAAAAAACAATCTCCATCTTAGAAAGAATGTTACAAAACGCAAAACAAAGAAAAAATTTCAAGTTTTTAAAATATATTTTATTGAAAGATTGGTATAGAAATTAAAAAATGTCTACATATTTAAAAAACAATATGTCAAAAGTTTTACAAAATAAGATGTTACAAGAATAATAGTTTGTTTTATCAAATAATAAATGATAATGCACAAATTGTTGGAGTTGTGCCCTGATGGCCAACTGTTTATCATTATTCTATCATGTATAGGCAGATATAATATGTTTACACATCTCATGCTAATGTAAACAAATATTATATTCCAAGATTTATATTTAAAGATGTTTATCAGATAGTGTTATTCTGCTGATGAGACTAACATCTTGAAATAAATATTTATCTAAATGTCCATAGTCGAGTATTAACGAGAGTGGGATATCGTTAATGCATGTGAGACTAGTGTGTGTTGGATGTTTGACTTAGTCTCATAGTCAATGACGGTGTGTTCGCATCCGCACATGGGCAGATATTATCTAGAGATAATAGGATGCCGGACTGACCCATCCTAAAGATGTTGCTTGAA